AGCTTCTCAAAGGCAGACAGTGCAAATGCTTCAGCAGGGCTTGGTTTCTGTGGAGATATTTGGCAGTTGCTACGGTATGTTACGTCTTGACCTTACAGTGACAGGCTATCCGGCTGTTAATGCCTGGAAGCTTCAGCTGCACTGCCAGAGAAAAATAAGATTAGTTTGGAAATTCAGTAGAGAAACGAGTGATTAGAAAAATGTACGAAGTAAACAGACTTCAGAACAGAGAGCTAGGGCAGGAGGCGTATCTGGCAAAGGGTCAGTCACAACGAGAGCATGCAAACCTCATCTGAACTTTAACCACGATGTTCTTGTACTGGTGAAGATGGAAGCTACTGATCTGTCCATTTCCAGGTCCCAAAGATCAGGGAGTTAAACCATGAATTCACAATCTGCACACATCTCTTCTCCTTAGTTCTCTTCTTTTTTGGATTCTTCCTTGGGTGCTTCGGGAACCAGGATGACCTTTCCAACATTCTTCTTCTCCTGCATCTGCCTCATGGCATCTGCCACCTAGAAGGAAGAAGAATCCCGTGAGACCCATGGCCAGCACGCAGTGCAGCCATGCCCTTCCTGGGCCCCTTGGTCCACCCAGACTAGTCCAAGGGCCACCCAGGAGGCAGCTTGCCTGGCAGTCCAAGCGAGCACCAAGCATTCGGATGCCTCTGCACGGATGCATTTTGGACAGAGTTGGGCAGCTCTCCCAGGCTGCCCATAGGAAACAGTCCTCAAGAATTCACACAGACCAACCGTAACACACAAGGATGCTCTGCTACGCAAACCGTGGAAGAATGAAGTGCAGTCACCACAGCTTCCTTCCCAAACAGGGGGGCACTGCAGAAACCCAGCTAACAGCCAGGACAGTATTTCCACCATCTACACAACCACAGAACAATACCTGCACAGATTTTTATTTTTATTATTTTTAAGCAAAACAGCACCCGGGCCAGGCCTGGAATCAGAGTTTTCCTTAAGTGATTGCATCAGGCTAGTTCTTGGGTACTAACACCTACTGATCCTTATCAAATCCTACCCCAGCAAAGGATTTCCACGGGAAAAACCTGACTCTGTCTGGATACATCGATGCAACAACGCTGAGCATAGCAGAGCTGCGGAAAAACCTGCCACTCCCTACCAACATCCTCATTCTGCTTTGCTGCCTGGGCTCTTTTTCACTCGTGGAAGGGCAGCAGCGACCTTCCCAGCTGTCTGCTTAATTACAGGGTGCAGACTCAGGGCAGCCTCCAGTCTGATGGATAACCCAGCCCCTCCGTGGGCCGCTGCTGCCCACGGAGCACAGCTGAGCCCCTGCCCTGTTCCACAGGGACGCTCTGTCTGGCATTGCCCAGCTCTGTGCACTGGAGCAGAAAAGCCCAGCCACTTTATTCCCCCTTAATATCTTAAAAGGGAAAAAGGCACTGAATGTCTGCGAACAGATGGTTCTTAACCATTCACAACAGTTCAGCCCCCACGAACAAGGTGCTCGCACCGATCCAGAGCTCACTGTGCAGAAAGCAATCGCCCAGTAATTTCTGGGTGCTGCCAGCCTATATTAGCTCAGACTCACCTGATCAAAGGGCCATACAGAGTCTATTTTGGGCTTGATTTTGCCTTGACTGTACAGGTTAACCAGCTTGGCTACAACACCTCCGACAAGCTCAAATTCTTCATCCATATATCCAAGGTGGTAGCCACACACAGCCTTGTTATGGTGTAGGAGCTGCAAGGCATTGATGCTGAACTGGTTCCACCAGGTTTTGGCCATAGCCATGAGGTTCTTCTTCTGCCCAGTGAGCAAGTTTGCTACCCCTAAAAAGAAGGCAAGCCACAGGTGAGCTGGAATCAGCACAGCACGGGAGGCAGAAGGCATCCCATGTAACAGCTCAGATGATACACAGGGTACATGCAGTGATGGAGGACAGAGGAGAGAATCGGACCACATTGGGATCTGCCCAGTCGACCTTCAATGGAAACAGGTACCTGCCTCGGCCTCAAGATACACAGAATTTGGATTATCAGCACCCACATATTGCAAAAATATAGAACAACTCCTCTCTGAGGAGTGCAGCAGCAGCATGGCTGGAGTGGAGAGGCAAGAGAGGGTTACAAGTGACATCCAGCCAGGCTGGCAGGACAGCGCTCCCCTTCTCCTACAGCCAGGCTTCTTCAGGGGAGCCACACGCTGCAGCGGCTGGGACAACAGAAGCAGCACACTGGTGCAAGTGTCTGGAATCCCACTGGGGGCTGTGTGAGGGCTTTGTCTACGGGACAAAATCACAGTGTTTCAAGGGCTGGGGAATGGAGAGATAAGTATTCAGTAGCCTCAAACCTCATCACCCACACATCCTCTAGAAGAAAAGCAAGGCTCTATTAGTGCTGTGCATTAAGTCAGCCTGGACAAAGCAGCTGCGCCAGCGTTGCTCCGTGAGGACATTCCAGCTTCCCCTGCAGGCACTGGCTCATACTCGAGAAGATATCTTGCCATGGGAGGAAAAACCCTTGAGGCCTGTGACCAGAGCTCTTGGGACAAGGCACAAATCTCACTTCCCTCAGTGCCTCACCCAGGCAAAGCATCCTAAAGACCTTTGTGAAGTAACAAAACTACACCACACGCAGCAGTAGTGATGCTCCCTCACGGCTGTGCAGCCAGGCATGGAGCAGGACGGAGCATTCCCATGCAGACCCACAGCCACCCTGCCAGCACATGGTGCCTCCTACGCAGGAGCTAGGGTTTGGGCACGCTGCTCACGCTTACCGTAAGTGATGAGTTTGCCCATCGGCTTCAACAGGTTAAATGCTTTGGACGTATCGGATCCTCCCAGGGGGTCCAGGACAATATCAACACCTAGAGGGAATTGAAAGTAACCAGTAACTTTGCACTTGGGAAAAAAAAAAAAATGCAGGACAGTTGTGGAAGTCCTCCTCCACCACACAGTACCTTTGGGAGAGATTTTCCGGACCTCCTCTGCGTAATCCATCGTTCTGTAGTCAATGGGGTGAGCGACTCCGCTCTCCTTGAGCGAATCATGCTTGGAGGCAGATGCTGTGCCAAAAATGGTGACATTTTCTACAGTCTTGCACAGCTGGATGGCAGCAGTTCCCACACCACCTGAAAACCAGCAGCGAGAAAGACTTAGGAGCAAACAGCCCCAGCGGTCAGAAAAGCCTCTGGGTAGGGAAATTATCCCTGCTTGTACCGATGGCAGAGTGCCAGGAGGGTATGGAATAAAGGCTTTGCCTGGGGCAGGCTGATGCCTGTGACACGCTGGCGGAGACCAACTCTGGCTGCTGGGAAATGGGTTCAGCATTTGCCAGCGCTTGGGTCGGCATAAAGCCTGCACCTCCGGCAGGCAACATTTTGTCAGTCCAGCCCCATTCCGATTGCTTCCTCCCCCGTGCCACCTATTCAGAAACTGCACATTGAGGCCAAAAATCTCAGCATGGGCTGAGGAGAACTACTTACCTGCAGCCATGTGGATGAGGACACTCTGGTTGGGTCGCAGGTTTCCAAAATCAAACAGGATCATGTAGGCAGTGATGTAGTTGACAAGAAGAGCAGCCGCTTCCTCGAAGCTCATCCCCTCGGGCATCAGGAAAGTCTGACTCGCTGGCACGTTCACCACTTCTTGCCAGAGCCCTGACCTAGCCAGGACCATTACCTTATCACCAACCTAAAAATTAAACAGAGGACAAGGCGGTCTGAAACAAGCCCCAGGCTAGCAGAAGCCATCACACCCTTGCCCTCTGCACGCCAGAGCGCGTACACGTGTGCTGTTCTCTGCGCAGAGGCCTGCAGGGACTGCAGCACCCCTGGGCTTGGGTGGGAGCCCGCAGCCTGTGCTTTGCTCCTCGGGCAAACCACAGCAGAGCGCAGCACCTCTCGCCACGGACCTGGGTGCACGCCAGGAGCCTCGGAGGGACCGCAGGTGCCCCAGGCTCTGGCTTGCACCCAGCGTGCTGCCTGACCGCCAGCCGCCCAGACCAACGGACCCCCAAAAAGGAGAGAGGGATGGGGGTCGTGTCCTGCCCTCCCTGCCCAAGCTGGGAGCAGGAGTCTGAACACTGTGAAATATTACTGCTGCGCCTTGCAAGGATCGTTCTGCCAACAGGCAGGAGGCTCGGGGCGATGCCTAACAGGATCAACCCTGGAAAAAGCATGTCCAACCTTAGGGAAACCTCTCAGGTCTGAGGCATCCCCCAAAATCTGCCCTTATCCAGCTGGGCAAGAAACATCTGCTCGCTGCGCGAGGGGAGGGAGAGGACAAAACACCGAGCAGTCGTATCGGCAAGCGGACGGGAGGCTGAGCCAAGGCAGTGAGCAGAAAGGCTCTTGGTGTGTGGGTTTGGCATTTACACTTGAATAAACCAAGATGTTTTCCTGGAGGGGAAGGAATCATCTTTGACACGCTGGGTTTTTTTGGAGACGCTTTGTTTTGCTAGTTGTTGCACCCAAAAATCATCTTAAAGCACCATCATCGCAACAAGCCCCAAGACCCAAAGGTCTGGGACACGCAGAGCCAACTCCTCCGTCCCCCGAGCTGCCCCAAACGCAGCAGCCACAGGCTCGTGGGCCACAAAGCCGGCGCCAAGAGCGGCCAACCTGCTCGTGGCCACACCTCACCACCCTCAGATGGCTCTGGACAACTCTGCAGCCGCCGGAGCGGTTTCCTCCTCCCACACCCCTGCAGTTTCAGAGGTTGGTCGCAAACGTGATCGGAAACAGCACGGTCACGCTTTAGCCCAACATCCCACGAGCGCTCGCCCCTAACAAGAAGATTTTGTAGGCGCAAAGAGGCCTGGGGGTCCCCAAGGCACGCGACCGCTCCCAGCTTTTCCCCACGGCTCCGCACCCGACCCTCCCCAGACCCCGGCCCTGCGGGTGGGCA